TTACTACACTTGCTAGTATCAGTTCAACCTCATGTATAATGGTTACACTAAAGTTTTACATTTTTCGTTATATATATATATATATATATATATATTTGTCATTCGCACACAGCACTGCTTCGCTGTATTACAGCTACTCAGTGCAACTAGACATTCAAATGCCTCAAGCCAGGATCGAAACCGAACTAATATGGCGTAAGTCAGAGCTTCTACCACTAAATCTAGCGTATTGTTTTTACGAATGTAACCAAATACCAATCAGCCAAAGTGCTCCATTCATTGTACTGAAGAGCTTTGCATTAGCGCAGGTGGCTGTTGTTTATAGAATTAGCTTATCTCTCAAAAGTGCTCAATTGAAATATATTTTCAAGAGCTAAATTATATATATATATATATATATATATATATATATATATATATATATATATATATATCATGGCCGTTGATCGTTCATCGATGCGGGCTGTGGACACGCGCTAACCGGGGGGGGGACCTTTTACGACGTATGAAGGGTCAGGAATGTCAGTTCTTATGAACCGACAGCTAGACAAGCTTACATATGATTTGATAGTGATGAAGGTTTTGTGCCGAACCAACCACACTTATTGAAGAGCGGAATAAAAAGATAACACAAAGATCCCAAACGACACTCCGCAAGTTTAGAGTTGTTGTTCTTCTAGATCAGTTGCCATCTAAGGCTATAGAACCCATTCTGCCCTGCTATTTACCCATAGCTGGTGGGAGAAGAAGAGGATTCACACCTTTGCCAAGGTTAATAGCACGTAAGTGAATGTAATGGACTCGAATGGAATTCGACCTCGGCTCGGTAAAAAACTTCTATGTCATAATAACAAAATAATATCTTCGATGGCGAATATCTTTGTTAAAGTATCCCTATAGCCACGCAGAAGATGGCTCATGTGAGCCGAAAACTTAGATCAAGTAACAAGTTAATGAAAAATATCCAAATTTTGGAAAATGTTTCTTTTATTTACACCTGAAATTAAAGCAAACGTACGAACATTAGAACAGCACATGATCAGACATAATAGACTAATTGTCTGTCATTTATTTAATAATATATATATATATATATATATATATATATATATATATATATATGTATATATATATAGATAGATAGATAGATAGATAGATAGATAGATATAAATGCGAAAATGAGCTAAAGAAATAAAGATGCATCAGAAAGCATATATGCGTGTGATGACGTACATATACAAGTGAACAAATAAATATTTATTTAATACTTGGGGGAGACAAACCAGTGCTCAGTGTAGTTAAACAGAGCTATAAAGTATATATTAATAATTATATATATATATATATACCTACGTTTGCAGTACAAATCCGAGTTTCATGGCTTTCCCATTCATATGATAGTTACGAACTGTTAAATACGGTTGTATTTAGAGTACATAAAGTATCTGATGAATGGGAAAAGCCAAGAAAATTTGACTCGTGTAGTTCAAACATAGGTATATATATATATATATATATATATATATATATATATATATATATATATATATATATCAGGTCATCCCATAAGTTCTGTCCGAATTTTGAATAAAAGAAAACAAGTGACCAAGTTACATTTAATTACAGTTTCAATCAACAATGTATTTTCCATGACTATCTATGACTTCCTTCCATCTATTAACAAGCTTACTTATTCCATTACAGTAAAATTCTTTTGGCTTTGATTCGAAGAACACACAAATGTCAGTTTTAACCTCTTCCTGTGTCAGAAATGCTGTTTCTTCCAAATGATTCTGTAAGCTACGAAACAAATGGTAGTCTAAAGGAGCAAGATCGGGAGAATAAGGTGGATGAGGAATTTTCTCCCAACCAAGTTCTTCGATCTTTTATGACGCGATTCTTGTTGTGTGGGGTCGCGCATTGTCCTGATGAAACATCACCTCCGTTCGATTCACTAGAGCAGGTCTTTTTTTCCTCAAAGCTTGAACGCTCTAATTGCTGACAGTATATTTGAGCATTAATTGTTGCATTAGATGGTAAGTATTCAAAGTGTATTATTCCTTGGCGATCCCACCAGATTGAAAGAGGAACCATTTGTCCATGAAGTTCGCTTCTCGCCTGTCGCTGGGATCCTTCCCCTTTACCAAGTCACTGTCTACGACGCTTAACATTTCGATAAAAGATCCATTTTTCGTCGCCAGTCACAATTTTATCTAAAAAAGGTGAAACAAGTTGGCGAAAATGGAGAGAAGAGAAGATGTCAACTCAGGATTTGAGGTTGTTTTCAGACAATTCATGAGGCACCCATTTTCTAAGTTTAGGAACTTTTCCAAGTTGTTGAAGATGATGAACAGTTATATGGTTTGACCTGAGAACCACTGCCAATTCCTCAACTGATAAAGCAGGATTTTCTTCAAGGGCTGCTTCAAGAAGCTTTCAAACCCAACTGGACCTCCGGTTCGATCTTCATCTTCATGGGTGAAATCTCCACCTCTGAATTTTGCAAACCATCTTCTGCAAGTTCTTTCATTGACACATTCCTCTCCATAAACTGAGTGAATGTTTCTAGCCACTTCGGCTACTGAGTTTCCTTTCTTGAACTCATAAAGCATTATGTGCCTCAAATGATTCTTGGGTACTTCCATGTTAGCAGGGTTTTAATCAAACAAAATTTAATTTTATTGTTCTTTGAAATAAAATTTGATCAGTTTAAATGCATCTAAACATAAAAATAACATTCAGCTCCATTCGACATTATAAAATACTCTTTAAATTTTGTTCATTTTAACAAAAAGTTAAGGACAGAGAGAGAGAGAGGGGGTGGGAAGAAAGAGAAACTAAAAGAAATGAATAAAACAATTCCCCACTGACCCAAAGGAGGGATGTTTCACCAATCTCTGTAGTCGATCAAGAGATAAGTCGCTAGAACCTTTAATTATTTGGATATTCTTACTCTAGTAATTTTTCCAACAATTTTTTTATTAAAATTCAGGTAACATAAAAATACGTTATTTTTTTCATATTTGAAGTAGTACTATTAATAGTATATGTGTTCAAAAAAGTGGTTACTTTGTTCGACAATGTGTGTGTAGAAACAATCCACATGTCCTATAATTCCAAGTGGTTTAGTCTATATTTTTAGGCATTATCAAGGATGATTTTATTTTTCAGTTTGAGTGTGTGTGTTGTGTGTAATGTTATAAAAATGTTTTATTTTCCGAACACAGCACATTGTGACCGTGTTTGTAGGTTACTATTGTTTAGTGTTGTCTTTTTTTCTTTTTTTCTTATTAAGGTTTCCATTATTTTTAAACTTTTGTAATGAAACATGAATATATATATATATATATATATATATATATATATATATATATATATATATATATATATAAAACTCAAACACTAATATTCCATGGAATATTAGTGCTTGAACCTTTATATTATATTCTTACTCTGTCCTGGACATTGAGTACTATCTGGTTTCTACCCTGTTGAGAATTTATATATATATACACCTGTGTAAATTATTTGAAACAGTCGCTTTAGTTTCCGTTCTTTCACCATACTGTTATATCATCTGCAGTGGTGGGCAGTAATATGAATCTCTTGCCCGGGTATATGATTGGCCTTGAAAAATATTGCGTCATCCGTGATTGCATCAGATTTTTAACGCCTAGAAACTATTGTCACGACAGCCAGTTAGTTGTTATATATATATATATATATATATATATATATATATATATATATGTGTGTGTGTGTGTGTGTGTGTGTGTGTGTGTGTGTGTGTGTGTGTGTGTGTGTTATATGTATGCTATATTTATGGAAGTAAGTGCTCAATATCTGGAACAGAATGTATATAAATAATAAGTGAATATTGCGGTCAACACCCAGCGTCTGTTTCATGCTTAATCACTATCTTAGTCCTAATTGCACATTTTTTTACCCAAGATATTTTCAAAAGGTGATAGTTTGGCCGCTTTCATCTCTTTAACAAATCTTAACTGTCTGCATCTTTTTCTCTGTTTACTTTCACAAAAACAGATTATTCAGATATTTTGCTTGCCAATTAGAATTTTGATTATTATCCTGAATACATTAAAAGTTTCTTGTTTTCAGATTTTAATAGTCATTTTTCTTGGTTTCATTTTCTGTGTTTGCAGTTGGTTTGCTATTGTTCTGCGAAAACTATTCAATTATTCTAGATATCCAATATTTAGTTCCCATCAATCATTATATTTTCATATATTAATTTCTATATGCGGATACATATTTCTTAAAAAAAAGGTAGATTATATATATATATATATATATATATATATATATATATATATATATATATATATATATATGGGTGGGAGTGTGTATAAAATGGACACCCATCGGCGAGAATCCCTTTCATACTTAAGTGCCAATCTTCAGGTCAATAATCAGGTCAAAATTATGAAATGACTCTCAGTCTTTCCAAGTAAATCTTGCTGTGCATCATTAAATTAAATATGTGTGAGAATGTAAAACGTGTTGACATATTGAAATAATAATGTATTAATTTATTCGGCATTATTTGTTATTGTCGAAATCAAATATATATTTCTGTGGATTATTCGTTTGGATTTATTTATAAATAACCATTTAATATTTATTTATATTTTTTTTTTATTTCAATATGAGTAGATATGTTCGTCTATCCGTCCGGTTCCCACGCCTTCTCGGTCTTTTGAACATGAGTTGATTTGTATCCTTTGTTTACTGTTTGAATTTCAGATTGGATGGGGTGCTGAAAGGTTATTGGCCAGACTCACGGCCGAAGATTTGACCAAACCAAAAGGCATCAAATTTTCTTATTGTTATAAAGAAGACGGGCTCCCGAAAATCTGTTATTTGGCTTAAATTTGGGAAGTGGATTAGCCGAAATAATTGTCAGCACCCCCTCTTCTATGGATGGATTAAAATTGAAAAGGTATAAATCTGAGGCATCCAAAGACAGGTAGGCAAACTATCTAATAGATAGATAGATAGATAGATAGATAGATAGATAGATAGATAGATAGATAGATAGATAGATAGATACCCAGGCATACAGAGAGACAAATAGATAGAAAAAACATAGATAGATAGATAGATAGATAGATAGATAGATAGATATGAACAGGCTAAGATAGAGTGAGAAATACATATTAACAGACTATAGCTAGCTAGCTAGCTAGATAGATAAATACCCAGGCATACAGAGAGACAAATAGATAGACAAAACATAGATAGATAGATAGATAGATAGATAGATAGATAGATAGATAGATAGATAAACAAAAAAAAAAATGTTCCGACCCAATTTAACAAATCATTATGTTGTTCTAATTTCCCTTCACTCTTCGTCTATTCTTTTTTTTTTCAACGCATCACTGAAGGCACGGTGGAGACTACCTGCTGTCCTTAATGGTACGGAAAGATTCGACAAATTGCTGCCAACCTGGCCGAAAGGATCCGTGGCCAACCGAGTCTCGTTGACATCTTAGAAAAATGTCACAGCGTCAGAAATCCGTGAGATATGCGATTTTCTTTTTATATTTATGACTTAAAAATAAGAAGAAAAAAAGAAAAGCCGAAAGCTAGCAACAATCATCAAGCAAACATCTCAGCATGACGGCTCATAGCCGACGGAGACATGCGGGGAGCGCCATCATGGTATCCGCGTGTTTCATTGCTTGTTTTATAAGATGTTCCGATCCGCCATGTCTGTTTTGTCGTTGTTTGACAAATCACTGAGCCGAGTTTATTACCAGAGTACGTAAGTTGTATATTATTTTCGGATTAAATCGGCATTATTTTCATTTCTTTTTTTTTTTATTCTTTTAACATTATTCTAGTTGTATTTTTACCAGGTTTTATTTTAGTATTTACTCTATTTACATAGTTCGAAGTGTTGTCCTCATCTTTATTGTTATATTCACGATGTTTCGGCCGTTGTACACTCCGGACATCTTCAGTTAATATACGTTGTGATTTCGAACCGATCACTTTATTTAATCCACTGGGGTATATTGTTCCCGTTCCACGTGTCATGCCTTTTCCGGATATCTCCGTTTCAGTTATTTTTCTTTAGTAACTCCCAAAGTTTTTGTTCACCTCTGCTGTGGAGAGATATTGAACTCACAACTCTTTGGTCCACAACGCTAGATTACTTCAACCAACGCTAGTCTTCACTGAAGAAGCCCGGAGAGTACAACGGCCGAATCGTCTTGAATATGACACCAAAAAATGAGAACAACAGTCTTTACACTGTAAATAATTTATATACGATCTTTTGTCTTGTTTAAGTTTTAAAAATTGCCTTCGTTTGACAGCATTTTAACGACTGATTTTAGAATTGTATACAGATCAGATTGATAGGTTAGACCATATTTGACCGAGCTGAACTTCCTTAATGACGCCCTTTTGAACGTCGGTTTAGAGAATTCACCTGCTTCAAAAAACCGGTGAGATTCGAAACTGCTTTCATGGCTGGAACGTTCTAACCAGTCGCACACACAGCCATTATACATATGTTTGCCATTTTGAGAAAGGACGTCAGATCATGCCAGTGTTTTTCATTCTTTCAGGATGCGGATAATCCTGTCTTTCCACAAGTATCTCTCTTTTAGCTTTATGTCACTTTTCATCTTTTATTACTATTGGTTGTTCTTTTTCAGCCATTTACATAAATTCGTTAATTTGTTTACTGGTTACTTACCTCGTTTCTTTTGCCTTCAGTAGGTCATGTGAGCGTTGGATTCTTCGAAGTTCTTCCTCGATTCTTGAGGAGGCACGGTGGATAGCGGCTTGGATTGAGGAATCGGAGAGCCGAGTTCGAATTCCAGTCGAATCCATTACATTCACTTACATGCTAATACCCTTGGGGAAGGTGTGAATCCTCTTCTTCTCCCTCCAGCTATGGGTAAATAGCAGGACAGACTGGGTTCTATAGCCTTGGATGGCAACTGGTCTAGAAGGAAAACTCTGATTCAAAAACCTGCTCTTAGAGGAGGGTGAATGGGGTCTCTCTGAGCCTTGGTTGGCAATCCATTTAATCATGGTGTCACGATAAAAACACCCTTGATAGTACTAGCGAAGCATCAAGAATTCAGCTATTTGACAAGATTATGAACTACACCAATCAAAGTATTAGCTATGACAGATAAGGAATACTGAAAAGGTGTAGCTGAGGCCGCAAGATGATGATGATGGATTCTTCGACTTCTGGTTCTTCTTAACACATTTTGACGCGGCATAATCTTCCTGTTTATCATATCGCTCTGTGTTGGTTTAAGTGAACTTTTAAAGTGTGTATTGTGTTCTAACTGTCGACGGGCAAAGATAGTGCTATTTATTCGGTATTTTACGAAGTTAAAGACAGATTTAAAATAGAAAATTCCGTAGAAATAAAATAAAGATAGAACCATCGACAGAATGAACTATACTGAGCGGATTAATAAAAGTTTTTGTGTAATATAACCATAGATAATTACAGAGAAATAAAAAAGCAATGAGAACAGAAGAAAGAAAGAATGTAGCTACGATGACGAGAAGAAACGAGAGAATAATATATACTAGAGAAAAAGAAAAAGAGGAATGACTAAATAAACTGAGAAATGATAGAGACAAAAAGAACCTAAGCAACGTTGAAAGAACTACAAAAATCCGAAAGGAAAAAGAAAAAAAGAAAGATCAAATTGAGCGTGTGTTTTGCTTTCAACTGATCTCTTTCCCGCACCATCTACAGCTAAGCTGACCGAAAACCCCGTGACTTCCGACATCTTTTGGCTTTGCAGGCATCGAAGCTAAGACGAAGAACATGGCGGCAACATCAAAGAACGTCAACGAAACTTTGAATAAGAAAAATAAATGCAAGTAAAATTGAAAATTGCCGAGAAACAAAAAGGAAATATAGATGATAAAAAGAATTTGTGAACAATGAAATGAGAATAAGGTTAAAAAAAATTGTTAAAAGAAATGTAAAATTTTTAAAAAAATGCATTTTAAACCAAAAGCATAGAAAGAATTTCTTCTTGAAATATAAGAATTTTTTATATATATTTTTATAATTATTGTTTTAAAATCCCTGTTTATTCCTGACTGCTTTCAGCTTTCACTTACCCTCCTTTTTTACAGTACATTTTCCTTAGATTTTCATTTCCCAAGAATGCTCGCAATTTCCTTTGCATTTATTACATATTAGAGAAATAGAATTAGTTAATGAAGATTCTTTTAAAGGAATGGCGAACTTCGAATATTGATTTGAAAGTACAAGTTAACATAGCTCTGTAAAACCTTCAATTTTCTTTCGTGCAATAAGTACATTTGTATTCTTATAAAATGTGTGATATTCGAATAAGTCAATTCGGAAAAAGTTGTTATGAGTTTTGTTGACATATCAATAATTAAATTATTCTTTTGCGCCAAATTCAAATGCCGTTGGTAGAAAATATTTCAACTTATAAAATATACTTGCCCGTTCACATAATTATGACGAAGATAAAATTATCATCAGAACTGTTTCGACTCAAAGGCACACTGAAAATTATGAAGATTGCTCATGGTTGCTCTTTTTCAGGTATACCCAGCTCCTCAGGACCATTTGTGTTTCTTCGACACCCAAACGACAGCTACGCCCTCGCGGGTCTTTGTTACATCTCATATTCCCTTTACCGGATTAATATCTTATTGTACTAGTTTGAATCTTAATAAAGACTGCTTGCAATTCTGCAATCTTTATGAGTCTTTCTTACACTAGATTTATTAATTTCTCTACTGATTCGATTTTAAACATGTTAACGTTATTTTTTACTGTTTGATAGAGGACTTCTTTGCCTGGATATTCTTTTCAGTCCTTTTCTTCTTCTTCTACTTCTATATGTTGTGTTCCTTCGGGACGTGGGTAATCATGGCTCTCCACAATTTCCTTTTCTTTGTATTCCTTAGTGTACATTTTGTGTTATTTCTATCCCCTGTCCATGTTCGACCAACCATCTACACAATCTCGTGAGGTATGTTATACGCCGCTTTTCTTCGTCCGTCTTACCTTGCATATGTCCTATAATTTTCTAAGTCCACTTTCCTAAGAAAGTAATTCAGTAAAGGAATTGGCAAGAATTAATCATTCTGTCTATAGAATTTAATCTTAATAAGTCTTGACATCACATTTGAGTTCTATCCGGAAGATTCAAACCGGGGAATATTTCAATTTATAAAATAAGCCTACCTGTTCAATTAAAGGTTCCGCCAGGATTTTTTCACATAATTTCAATAAACGTGAATCAATATAACCATTCATATAACAGTTTAGGCAAAGGCACACTGGGAATTGGGATGATTTCTCACGGTTGATCGTTTCCATCCATATCCATCTGCTCAGGACCATTTGTGTCTCTTCAACTCTCGCAGAGCCGACCTGTGGTTTAAAATGCAGCTATGCGGAGCGGACCTAACTTCATATTCCCAATACGTGAACAAAAAATCTCATTTTACTAGTAATATCTAACTCATCTCCCCACCGAGACATGATGTGACACAAGGTTGGATTTAATGTGGGGAACCCGAGCGCGTACACGCGGGACAGAGACATAAATTGTCCAGCCCCCGCAAACGCCATTTTCCGCTAAACTCGGTAGCGATTACCTAACCCTCCTCTCTTGTGCAATGGAGGGTGCAGCCTCGGGCATTTCTTCCCCGGGAATGGGTACCTCGCAGTATTTATTTTCTTTCTGCCCGCGGACAGACCGACAACTGAGTCGCACTCAGCTTGAAGAATGTGACGCACCTGAGAGGTGATACACCCTAGCCAGCATGTGCCAGATAGGATTTATTATTCATATTATTAGTTTGCTTGTTAATAAAGAATCCTTGATATTTTGTATCCTTCATGAGTCTTTCTTCCATCATTTTTATTAATTTCTCTACTGTTTCAACTTTAAATTTTCACCCAGCAGTTTTTAATATTTCACGGAGAACATGCTTGAATATACTTTTCAATCTTGATAGACATAACTTAACATTTGTTCTTTGATTATTAATGTCTGCTGGGAATTACGAGCCATTCTATATACTCGGGGTTTGGAAAATAGTTTTCAGAGTAATCGTCTATTTTCAAAATACGAAGAATCAACGTCTTTTATGAATATGCAACCATTCCATTTAATGATCTGTTCGATTTTAAAATTCATATCAATTAAAACAATGAAGATAACACTACAGGCTTTATTGAGAAACATAAGTAAACAAAGAAAGTTCGATTTAAACACATCAGAACAGTTTCATGTAAAGTTTCTGATTTTTACAAGAGACATTCTGTATCTGTCAATATTTCTGAGATGAGGATTTATGTACACTATTTATATTCATTGGCCTATTGTCCTGAACTTTGTTACCATATTTATCACTACGTTTCGACCGTTGTACGCCCCGGCCTTCTTCAGATGGTTGGAATGTCCAACTGAATCCTTTATTTCGCTTTCTGGAGTAGACTGTTCTAATTACACGTGCCATGTCTAACGGATGTCAGTTATCGGTTATCTCCTGTTAATTCCCCTCACCAAGTTCTCCACCGCCTTAACCAGGTATTGAACTCAATGCACAGTGGATAAAGGTGTTAGTTAGAGCCAGTGACAGGACCCAAACAGTGTGAATTTACTGATAAATATGGCAACGAAAATGAGGATAATAGTCTGAATAATGTAAGAGACATTCTATTTTCATAAATTTCTTGAGCCAAACACAGATGCTAAGAAGAATTGGTATTTTGTTTCATGATTTTTATGGAATCACACTGAGCTTGAGTGTCCGATTTGGTTGGTGTGTTCACAGACGCATTCCAAAAGCTGGGTTGAATATGACGAGACAGGAGGATTACTTTGGTGGCAAAGAAAAGAGTACTGAGCTGTTATGTGACATCTATCCTCTTTTACGGCAGCGAATGTTGGATGGTCTCCTCAAAGATGAAGAAGACACTCGAGATGTGGTTCTACAGAAAGATGCCGAGGATGTCATGGATCGAGCGTGTGAGCAACGAGGAGATCATGGAGACGATGCAAACAAGGAGGATACTTAAAATCAGGAAGAGGCAGCTGAAGTTTCTGGAACACATAATGAGAAAGGTGGGCCTGGAGAATATGATACTCACAGGCCAAATAGAGGGAAAGAGAGACAAGGGAAAACAACACATGACATTACTGGAGGGCTTAAGCAAGTGGATGACAGGACGTGATCTGGGTGGGTAGAGGCAGGAAACTTATTGAGAGCTACAAGGGATAGGGAGAAGTGGAGAGCCATGATCACCTAAGTTGTAAAATAGAATAAAAGAACCAGGATACACAGTGAGCTTTCTCTTGTGGTGTTAGCATTTCATTAAAAGACAAAAATAAATAACAAACACTTCCTGAAAAGACAAACGAAAGTGAATTACAAAAAGAGCGAATTATATATGAATTAAAAATGTAATATTTCTTGTAACAAAGTGTATTGAATTTTAAAATTATATATGAATTGATAATTTAATATTACTTGTAACGAAGTGTATTGAATTTTAAAATTATATATGAATTGAAAATTTAATATCTCTTGTCACGATGTCTATTGAATTTCGAAATTATACATGAGTTAAAAATTTGATATTCCTTGTAACGAAGTGTATTGAATTTTCAAATTATATATGAATTAAAAATTTGATATTTCTTGTAACAAAGTGTATTGAATTTTCAAATTATATATGAATTAATAATTTAATATTTCTTGTAATGAAGTGTATTGAATTTTAAAATTATATATGAATTAAAAATTTGATATTTCTTGCCACGATGTCTACTGAATTTCGAAATTATACATGAGTTAAAAATTTGATATTCCTTGTAACGAAGTGTATTGAATTTTAAAATTATATATGAATTAAAAATTTGACATTTCTTGCCAGGATGTCTATTGAATTTCTAAATTATACATGAGTTAAAAATTTAATATTCCTTGTAACGAAGTGTATTGAATTTTAAAATTATATATGAATTAAAAATTTGATATTTCTTCTAACGAAGTGTATTGATAGAGCTTACAATTCCAAAAGTCTCTGATATAGCATATACATCACGTCAAAATGATTCTGATTATTTCGAAGAAAAAAAAATTTATTTTGTCGATAGAATTTAATTTCTCTTCCGATGAGTGATGTTAATCATTAAATAGCGATAACAATCATCTGTGATTTATCGTTATTAGATGTGTTTTAGTTTTTATATAGACAGTATAAAATTCAGAAAGACTTGAAATATTTTGGACAAAGAACGACGAAAGCAGGCATGGAGATTATGAAACTCACAGAACATATTGAGATGCAGATGTCAACCGTGAATGATTTACCAAACAGGTTTAAGTGGATGCCAGAACAGGGACTGAGAGGAATAGTACAGAGACAAACACTACTTAGAACTACGAAGGGTAGGAATTTGCGGAGAGTCATACTTGTCCTCGTTCTGAATGAAACGGCGTATAGAGTAATTCAGGAATGGGCGGATATAGTTTTAACAATATAAAGATATGCAAATGCCATAATGCTGATAGTAGAATGTAAACTAGAGGAATTCCTAGAGTAGGTAGTAAAAGAAATTGCGAAGAAAGGACTAAACGTCGATCATAAGACATCAGA